GTATATAAAATTTTGGCTCTGGGTGAGACACCCTTGTTTTGCATTTTGACATTTCTTTCGACTTTGTGTGATGTATGGCTCAATCTCTGTCCTCCCTCTTTCGTTTTGCATTCGCTTTATGAGATGGGTCTGATGATCTTGTAATGCTTGAATAGCCGATGTTTTGCGTGTAATCCTGAATCATCCAGCGCTCGCAGCGCCGATCTATTCCCACCCGGGTGATTGGTAAGTGAAAGGAGTTTGATACTGTTGCGGTGCTTCGATGAATGTCTGGATGGCGATGAGATATCCCCCTTATGGCCACATAACTGCTTTTTATTCTAACAAAAATAGCTGAGAGATTGTTGCATGATTACATGAACCTTCTTTTTGCATAGGTGATTGGCTGATAGATCGATCCACAGCAAACCAACCCCGCGAGTCCCCGTGTAAGTGCGATCTGACGAGCGTGACTTACACGCGCACCCACAAGGCCGGCCCACAACCCCGAATGGACTTAGCACGACAGATCTCGATGTGAATGACGGAATCTCCATCTGCGATACGGGTCGGGACAAATTAAGGTCCCGACGCCATACGGGGACCGCTCGGTGTGCATGCTTTGTGAATGTCCAAAACGGAATAAGATTGATAGCCTGAGGGAACTAGCTGCATGGTTGAACCGGTACGCTGACGGATCGTTCCTTGATTATTTACGCGGTTTAGGATCCGACCAACTGGCCGGTGCGCATGCGCGTGTAAGACAGCAGTCATCCGCGGACTTGCCATCTACACGCGTGCCTGCAAAAGCCAGCTACGCCCTCGCCCCGTAGGAAGATGTGTGTGCATAAGTTTGGTTGAACGAGACATGGCGATAGATTCCCCTTTCTGGACCACCGATTGCGAAAGCCTGAGGGACCTGGAATACCGAGCGTATTGGGAGAGGGAACAGATCCGCCGGCAGCGGATCTGACAACATCGCCACCTACGGAACCCTGGGTACCTTGAGTACCCGTGCGGGACTGAAAACGAGCGACTGTGCAGGGGCGACTTCCAACTGGCAATCAACCGAGACCCACGAATCCCGATTATCCCGACAGCCAAAACCAGCAATATCTTCTAACCCCAAGCTTCATTGCCATCACCACTGACTTCCCTCCCTACTATACCGTCCTCCCTTACCACTGGTCCCCTGGGATTCCATAGCCCGGTTCTGGCCCCGCCCGCCGTGCTTGGAGTGTCGGCAACCCAACGGGCATCGGCAGGCAAGGGACGCGCAACGAGCCCACCGAGCGACGAGAACCCAACTCGTCTTCGTCGGACCCCGGGACTTGCGACGGCCGACAGCGGTACGGACACTCCCACAGAGACGCCCGTAACACCCCACCCCGGCCCAGGCAGCACGATCGATCATCGCCCCAACTCTGAGCCAAAAGACACTTGCATTCCTACCCCTGAAACTTGCCACAGGAGATCTCAGTTCCGACTTGGGACTCCACCCCAAATCCCCAAAAATCCTTGGCACACCCCTTTTCGCACTTCCGGGCCGCCATCCCACTCTGATCAGGAAGTCACGCTGGGCGTGGGGTTAGGGCGTCACAACCCCCCTCCTGGGTGGGGCATCAGTGACACCACTCTTCGCCCAGACGTTTTCGTAAATCCAGGTCAAACGGATCGTGACTTTTACCGGCAAGGACTTGGAGTCGTCACCAAAAAAGTACGAGACCGCATTATCGGTTAAACACTCCTCCTGAGTCGCATAGAGGTCAGGATTGACTACCACTCGGACGAAGTCCTCTTCCGCCTCCACGCTCTTAGCTTTCAATTCCTCCAGGAGGAGGCCTTCCGTATAGCACTCTGCTAGAATCTCCTTAATCCGATCTTTTTCTCTTTGGGGCATAGCAGACGTCCCTGGCGGATCAGGGGGAACGGAGGCCGCCATGGGGAGGTGAAGTCAGGTTAAACCACTTAAACGGAACTTCAAACATGCACCTGACAGAACAAAGGAGAAACTCTAATTACTAATACCTAAAGTCTCAATAAATAGGGATATTGTTAAAAAAAAAAAAAAAAAAAAAAAAAAAAAAAAAAAAAGTCACACAACAGCAGACCCGGGAAGACCGATAAGGAAGGGGGTTACCCCTCGCCTCGCTTGATGTCGATGGCTCAGCTTCCTTCCTTGACAGGATAGATGTCTTCGTAGTCAACCAAATAAAGCAGCTCGCCACCCTTGCTTGATCGCCTGTTCTCCCCGTTTCCTTCCCTCCCTCCCCCCTCCTGACGACCTTCCCTTCCTCTCACCAACCTTTCTGACCACCTTCCCTCCACCATATACCTTCCCCCACCAAGAGTAGGTGCTATGGAGGGCAGTGTGCTGCTCTTGAGCATGTCCGAACCCCGGCAGGTAAACGTCACAGCTATGTTCGGCGGGGAAGAGCTAAACGTAACCCTAATCCAAGATTGATGCTAAGCGCCGAGCCTGTGGATTAGCGCACGAGTTAGCGCTACCGCGTAGAGGCTCGCCACACAGGCTGTCGAACGTCGAAAATTTTCGACAGGGGTCAGAAAATTTGTCGAAAATTTTCGACAGTCGGGCCGTCGATAGTTTCGCCCCCCTTCGCCACATAGCCTGTCGAGGGGCGAGGTTGTCGAAAGTTGCCAATCGACTCAGCCTTTCGACAGGTGCTGTGTGGCCTGTCGGGAGTTGTTACAGGGATGAATTTGTGCGCGCAAGTGGACCAGATGTCGACGCCGTTTTCGACAGCAACTGTCGACTACATACGGACAAACAGGCAACGGCTGTCAGGGAGCAGTCCAGGAGAATGGAAAATCGGAGGCGTTTTTCAAAAGGTGGGCGGGCCACTGTCGAATTTCCGTCACCTGCAGGCTGGAGGAAAACGGTTGCTGGAGGGCGGCTGTCGAAAGTGCCATCCTGACACCTGTCGAAAGTTTTTTGAGCGGCAATTCTTCGAAAATCTGTGTGGCTATGCAAAATTGTCGAAAACCGGGTTTTCAACAGCCTGTGTGGCGAGCCTCCTAGTCTCCCGGCCTCCTCTGATTTTTTCCCATCGTCCGTTTTCAGGCCGCCAACCATGTACAAACTGACAAACCAAAAAAAAAAAAAAAACAAAAAAAAACACGCCCTAGCACATTTCCTGCACAATCCTTCCACGGTCAATGGGGGCCAAGCTTTCTGTTTCGGGTTTACATGCGGGTTCCAGACGAGTGGAGTCCCCAAAACAGGGGTCTGCCAATTTTTTTCCAGGCCGCCGGGTAGTTGGGTCCACCCAAAAGCTTGCACATTTTGAAACTCAAACACTGACATTGGTGCCACTTTGTCTTTTCTTGCCTATTTCAAACTGAAAAGGTGACTCAGGAGCAGTTTCCCCCAAAAAGAGAAAGCAGATGACATCTACAGCCCACTTTTTCCTTTTTTTTTGGTGCTGATAAGAGCAGACACGACTAGCACTGCCGGGGAGGCTCCATCTATTGGTGGGGAGCAGCACCTGCTGGAAACCAGGGCCAGCGTCCCAGAACATCTTGGTTTTTGGTTTGTACAGACTTCATACTTGCAGCGGCAGCTATCTGCATTGCCCCTGTTGGAAAAAGGGGAAGCGGTTGTGCACCTAACAGCCTGGAATAGTTGGTGTCATACCTGAGTCCTACAGCCAATATCATCTTGTAAATCTTGGAGGCAGGTGCTAACCCCTATTGCTGGTACCAGTGTATGCAGGCGCACCACCTAGGCGTTCCGTCACTTCTCCCTTTGGGCATGAGACTTGTTACACACTGTTATACATCTATCAATGTCAAGATTGCTGGTTGCAAATTCATGGGCTGTGGCCGTATCACTTCCCAGTATGGGGCTCGTCTATCCCATGTAGCTGCCAATGTCTCCCATCCCTTCTTGAAGCACCCTTATCATTCGGCCCAGCCTTGTACAGCAGCTCCCCTGTTCTTTGTTGTTATATCATTGTCTTCAGGTCCATTGAACCCCTTAACGTTATACCCTATCTACCACCTCCTTGATCCATGGGGTTTAAACATGTCGTACTTGCCGCAGTGCGTGTAGGCAAAACCGGCCCCCCGTTCCCCCGCCCCCACCCTTTGGAACACGAGTTTTTTGAACAATGTTAAACAATAGTAGACTGTGTTAGTTATGCTTTGGGACTGCTGCAAACTGCGGTTGAACCTTCTGTACCTCTTCACTCTTCCTCTGAGCTGATGTTTTCTGTACTTCGTCATGCCGGGGGTTTGGGGAGTAGAATCTAACCCCCTAACCCCTAAAGCCTGAGCACATTACAGTCTCTTTTATTGCAAGTCATGGTAAGTTAGTCAAGCAAAAGCCTGTCATTGACTTCTCCTCCATCACTTGTACCTTTTCTGTCTTTTTTTCTGTACTCTATATATGTATACTCTAGACAGTCTCCGCCCCCGCGAGGCCCGACTTACAGTGTTGAGAAAACGCTGGGGACAGGGGAGGTGGGCCCAGCAGAAACCACTACTCGTGCATCTCCTTTTTTCTTTGTTTTTTTTTGTTTTTGAAAGAGATATCATCATTGAACTGACCGGCCCCAGGTAATTCAGGGACCATGCCAACAGGACGTGGTCACGTGGGTGTACCAAATGTTGGTCGTTGTTTTTCATCCCTTCCCGCGCACGGTTTTCTTTTTCTTTTCTTTTTTTTTTTTTTTTTTTTTTTTTTTTTTTTTTTTTTTTTTTTCTTCTTGTTTTGCGCACGGTGCTTGGCCGGAGAGCCTTGCTCAGCTTGCGTGCTGCGGCGAACTTTGTGAGGGACGCCGGGCCCGTTTCCGGGCTAATAAAAAGTTGACAAACGTTTYTTTAAAAAAAAAAAAAAAAAAAAAAGGCCGAGAAAGGTAAAGAAAAAGAAAAAAAAGAAAAAAGTAAGGGTCCTTTTTTTTGCGCACGGGCCATTTTGTGTTGTAAACAGAAAAAAGAAAGAAAAAAAGAACGGGCCATTGCACGCACGTTGGTCGCGTGCCACGCGCGCGGGGCTCAGGGGTGTCGGCCGTCCCTTTCATTCGCGGGTTGCTTCCCCTTGCTTGCTTCGCTCCATTCCTTTCCGCACTCTTTTTTTTGGCTCCCTTTTTCTTTTCTTTTCTGTTTTCAATATAAAAGCCCAGGATGTTGTAGAGGCCAATGGGAGGACCCACGGTGAGGCTGGCGGCGACAGCCGATGGTTGTGCTGAAGTCGCGCAGGCCGTGGTCGGCGTGGTGCACGTCTGTTTCCCGCTTAGCGCAGGAGGTGAACGACGAACGGAGGAAGAGAGGCGGGAGGAGGAGCGCGATGGGGACGGTGAAGAAGACTAGCACGAGGAACTAGGGGCGTGCAGGAAAGACAAAAATAAATGTCCGTGTATCTCCCCAGGTTCCAGCAGAAGATTCACTCCGTTGTGCACAGGAGGACGATCGCGAGCACGACGGACAGGATGACGAGCGGGACGAGGTGAAGGACGAGGACGAGTGGCGTCTTTCATTTCCCGTGCGTTGGTGAGCACTGGTCGCTACTCTCTCTCTCTCTCTCTCTCTCTCTCTCTCTCTCTCTCTCTCTCTCTCTCTCTCTCTCTCTCTCTCTCTCTCTCTCTCTCTACCTCCAGTCTCCTTTTCTCCATCTGCCAATCCGACATCGACATTTCCGTAGCGATCCGGATTCTCTCTCTCTCTCTCTCTCTCTCTCTCTCTCTCTCTCTCTCTCTCTCTCTCGTGTCTCCTTTTCTCCACCTGTCACTCCCGCAGTGACATTTCCTGGGCGATCCCGACTCTCTCTCTCTCTCTCTCTCTCTCTCTCTCTCTCTCTCTCTCTCTCTCTCTCGCTCGCTCGCTCGCTCGCTCGATTGCTCACTCGCTCTCTCGCGCGCGCGGAATGGGGAGGTTGCACGGGAGCGGGAGGAGGGGAATTAGGAAGGGAGTATGACGAACAGGAAGACAGCGAAATATGGCCGTGTATCTCCTCATGTTCCTGCGGAAGATTCACTGCATGTTGCACAGGAGGAGAAGCAGGAGGAGGAGGGACGGGATGACGAGCGGGAGGAGGGGAGGAGGAGGACAGGGAGAACGACGGACGGGAAGGCAAAAGAATATGACCGTGTATCTCCCCATGTTTCAACGCATGAGTCATTCCATTTTGCATAGGAGGACGAGCGGAATGAGGAGGGGGAGGAGGGGAAGGAGGGGGACGACGAACATGAAGACAAAATACGGCCGTGTATCTCCCCATGTTCCAGCGCAAGATTCTTTCCATTTTCACAGAAGAGAAGCGCGAGGAGGAGGGCCGGGACGACGACCGGGCGAAGGAGGGGGAACGGGGAGGACGCCGCGGAGTGCAAGGAGGAAGGGGAAGATGACGAGTGGGAGGAGGTGGACGTCACGCGGGAGGAAGAGTGGCAGGAGGAGGAGCGCTATGAGGAGAGGAGGGATGACCAGCGCAGGAAGAGGGGAAGGAGGAGAAGGGGGGCAATTGTGAGGAGGAACGGGAGGAGGAGGGGCAGATTAGAAAGAGAACAGGGACGAGGAGGGGAAGACATTGGCCGCTTTTCGGGGCAGGAAGAGGTGTGCCGCGGGCAAGCCGTGCTCGTTTTCGTTTCCATGGCCTGGGCTGCTACACACGATCCTCCTTTTACTCCTGTCTCTTATACACATCTAGATGTGTATAAGAGACAGGTGGGCGGGCCACTGTCGAATTTCCGTCACCTGCAGGCTGGAGGAAAACGGTTGCTG